TTACAAAAAGGATAAGTTAAGAGACAGTAATCCCCTTCATAAAACATTTCAAATAGGTGTTCTATAAAGAGCAAGTTCCTCTGCGTTTAAAATACTGTTCTGTTTTTTTAAAAATATGTTTACCAGAAACTTTTCCATGAACACATAAAGTAAGAGGAATCTACATTTTCTTTTTCTAGCTAGCTAGGGACATCTAGCCCAGTTGCCCAGGGTGAAAACCTGTCATTAACACACTCCTCATTGGCTCATCTCCATGTTTCACTTTTCCTTCTCTTTCACTTGGGCTTCCTGCAATCATCTCTTAAATAAACTACCTGCACCAAATCTTTGTGTCAGGATCTCCTTTTGGGAGGTCTGAGCTAAGACGACTTCCTCATCACAGAAGTGACAGCATTGATAGCCCTGGTAGCTAGGGTAGGATGTTTGTCTTGCCTCTGGTCTGCTTCTTCTTTTGTTGCCCATTTGATCTGCTTCTGCATACCTCACCTTCCAGCCTGTTGTGCACTAGAGTACTTGCTTTCTTTTAATTCAACTGATATGCCAGTCAAAAAAGATTCTTATTCTCTCTACCAATGCTCAAAGATGGCTTTTAAATGACTGAGCTTTGCTGCCAAATCTACAGTATCCACATGTTCCATGAACTTCCGTTGCTCATATCAACCCCTTTCCACTCTGGCTAAGAGGTATGAGCAGATGTAGGGCTGAGGCCTGGGTTACATAAATGAGAGTCTCTAAGGTCCTAACAGGATCTTTCAGTCATTTCCATCCAACCCCCTAATCTCACAAGTTAGAACACTGAGGGGCAGAGAGGGTGAGCATTTGCTCAAACAACTTGTCCATCAGAGAAGAGGAACTCAGATCTCTGACCCCTAAGCCAGGCTTTCCCCTTTCTGAGATTTTCCTGAACACATTCCACCATTGCTTCCTTTGCTTGACTCAATTCCCCCTGCTCACCCCCCTACTTCCAACATTTATTTTCAGGCGTCCTAAGTCCTCACTAACCCTGAGCTCTTAAGTTATATTCATGCAGTCCAGTGTCACAGATCTGCTGCCCTCCTTGCCCTGCCTCATACTGAGGTTAAAAATTGCCACCAATATTTTTGCAACAAAGGAAAAACTAGGAAATAAGTAAAGTGACGTACAGTGGTTTTCATTGACAACTTCTTGCATAATTGAGCTCCCCTCGGGATTTCTGTGACTGGGTGAGATAATTGCCGACTGGCCCCTTGTACCCTGGGAAGATGCACACTTATATCCCACAGCCAGCTAAACACTTAAGCATCTAACCTGCCACTGGGGCTCTTGGAAGCCAAGGCTAGGCTGCTCCTTCCTTGACTTGACTGATAATCTGGCTTCTGTTTTTGACTCCACCTCACGCATGCCTCAGCTGGGTCTCCTGGTCCCACCTAACCAGTCTAGATTTATCTCTCGGGGTTCTCTGAATGAGTCCTCTGGCCCAGTGTGGCCAGTTTCCTCATTTTCAACTTCACGTTCCTTGTCTAAGCAAGCTATCTTTTCCTCCAGCCTAAAATGCCAAAGTAGCATTTATTTTCCAAATTATTATCTTGATTATCTTTTTGGGTGGGTTTGTGTTCTCAGATAGATTCTTAAGGACAAGGGCCATGACTTAAGTCTACTTCCTGATATTATGTATTGCACATGGCTTGTTATGGACTGAATGTTTGTGTCCCCCTTATATTGAAACCCTAAGCCTCAGCATGGCTGTATTTGGAGATGGGGTCTCTAAGGAAATAATTAAGTTTAAATTCATAAGGTCATAAAGGTGGGGTCCTGATAGAATAGGGTAGGTGTCCTTAGAAGATGAGACACCAGATGGCTTCCCCCTCCGTGTACTAGCACTGAGAAAAACCCATGTGAGGACAATAGTGAAAAGGTAGCTATCTGCAAGACAGGGAGACAGCTCTCACCAGAAACCAAATCAGCTGGAACATTGATCTTGGATTTCTAGCCTCCAGAACTACAGGAAAATAAATCTCTGTTATTGAAGCCACACAGTCTATGGGATTTTATTATGGCAGCCTGGGCTAACATAGGGCTGCTGATTGAGAAAATGGTCCTTACCCTTGGATCTCAAGCAGAGTTACAGGCTGGGCAGATGTCACTGCTTCTGCGTGAAAAGATAACTAACTTCCCAGAGTCCAAAACTAAACCTTCCTTTGTCACCACCACTCAACAACTCCTATCCTTTCCTCTGTGCCTGACAGTATCCTCCCAAGTGTGAACAAAGCTCTGGGCCACAAGCAAATCTTTTACCCCCTTGTCTACACTGACTCTGGCATCCCATCAGATGCCAAGTCTTAAGAGAGTCTACTAGCCCAAGACCTTGTATCTCCTTTCTCCAGGCCTTATTCCTTTGGCCTGTGCTCTTGAGATGGCCCCTTCATGGCTCTTCTAACCTCTAATCTTCATCTCGTAAACAGAAGAAGAAACAGAGGCTCAGAATTTAAACATGTTCAAGGTTGCACAATTGATAGTAGAACTAGGTTCAAACCTAGTTCCGTTTTGCCTCAAATCTAGCATACTTTCCACTAGACCTGTTTAATGTTCTTTCTATACAGCCAGAATTTATAATGTTCTGCCTTTAACTATAGATACTTGTGAAACTGTCTTATACCCACTATGAAATTGTAAGTTCTTTGAGAACAGCTGGCTTCATCTTCCTTATATCTTGGGCAATGGCTAAGTCTGTGTCTTGTGCTCTGTAAGGCACTTCAAGAAAAGGTCCTGAATTGAAAATGAGAAGTAACTGTCACAATGACAATATGGGCAATAGCAGTTTAGGAGAGATTCAGAGAAAGCTTGTAGGAGAAAGAAGAGTTGGTTTCTGAGTTGAGCTTGAGGTGATGGGGAATCTGGCCAGGCAGAGAAGAAGGCAGTGGTCTGAGTTGGGCCTCAATATCATGAGTGAACCTGTAGAGGGAGGTTGGCTTGGGGTGGGGGGCAGGGGGCAGAAGGGGCTGCATTTCTGCATTGGGTTCAGCTGTGCACACCAAACAAGTCAATTAACTTCTTTAAACATTGGTTTCTTAATGTGTAAAGTGGGAAAAATAAAAGTACCTACCATTTGGGGTTAATGTGAAGAATAATGAGATAATGTACATAAAGGACTTAGCACATTTTTGGGACGGAATATGTGTTATCTATTATTAATAATAAATACTATTAAAATACTATTAGTAGTAATATGGTCGAAATTTCACATGCTTACCACCCTAGCTCTCTGAGTAAATAATTATTTACACACAGATAATGCCATTGCTGTGAATACATTAAAAAACAAAATCATTTAAAAGTACTACTAAATTCAGAGCAACATGTTGGTTACCATGATTTTCCTAATCAAAGGATTCCAGGAGTCCCTTACAAGGGATTCTCATAGTTGAAAATCTTGGAAACCAAACCGTTGAGAGGCAGGAGAGTGCTAAACATATTCTGGGTAAAAGATTAACTTGGCTGAATCAGAATCCTGGATTTTCAGAGTAGGCTGACCTAGTGAGAATCCCTGTTCTACTTCCAGGCTGTGCTTTTAAGAAATTTAGGCACATTTCTTATCTTTCAGTACTTTGGTTTCCTTATCCTTAAAATGTGGATACTAATACACAAGGGCTACAGGACAGGTTAAATTGGGTACTGTACATAAAGCAAGAACTGGTAGATGATGATGACGGTGATGTTTGTGAAGCCTAATTGTGAAGGGCCTTAGATTTTTATCCTGTAAGGCTCTTGTTCCCCAAGTGTGATCCCTGTAACAGTAACGTTAGCATCATCTGACAACTTGTTAGAAATTCATATTCTCAGGCCTATCCGCAGACCTGCTGAACTCTGGAGGTGGGGTCAGCAATCAGTGCTTTTACAATCCTTCCTGGTGATTCTGATGCACTTCGGTTTGAAAACCTGCTGTGAGGTAATAGGGAGCCATTGAAAGTTTTTGTACAGTGGAGGGATGTGATAAAAATGACCGTTGTGCACAGACAATATATTCCTTTTAACAGGATCTAATTACCTAACTACCGACAAGCTTCCAAAGTTGCTGGCAGAAGCCCGTTCATCGATCCTTAACGATCTCTAGGCACAGAACGGGGGGTTAGCACTTAGGGCTCCAAACACAGTGCTCACCTACTGAGGGAGGTAAGGAAGCAGCGCTGTTTTGGGTACTGTTTCCACCGAAAGCCTTGGGACCCGGCGGCCAGGTGATGCTCAACGAATTCCGCACCTACAAGCCTGTCACAAACGTAGCCTGCAAGATAGAGAGAAAAAGAAAACCGTGTAGGGAAACCGGAAATGAGGGTCTTAGGGGTATAGAATCTGATGGTGGGGGAAAGGGATGGGATACGCGGGGGGTGAGGGGAAAGGGAGGCCCCTTGTCGCTGGGGGTGGCTACACCCCCTCCGCGTCCCTTTAGAGCCCGGGCGCGGCCGGCCGGCCGGCGGGGCGCAATGTAGCCCCTCCCGGAGACAACAGTCCCTCCGCCTCCGTGCGTTTGCGGCCGGGGTCCAGGTCACTTCTGCTCCCTTTATTGTTAGTGCGAGATGGGGCGTTTCCTCACCCTCGGCACCTCACCGGGGACGTCCCAGTCCGTCTCATCCCTACTCTAGCCCTTTCCGCGAGCGCCCCGCCGGCCGCCCGCCGCGTCCCAGCCACTGTGTGCGCTGCCCGACGGCCGGCCATTGTTCGAGCCCCACCCCTGCTGAATATTCACGCCGCGCGGGCGACTCGCCCCGCGCCCTCCCCAGCGGGGCTCGGGCTGGGAGTGCGTTTCCGCTCGTTTTTCCTGCCGGGGAAGGAGAGGGGGAGCTGTTTTCTCTCTCCTCAGAATATATTTTCGGTGTCCCGTTTCTCCTCCTCCCTCACCGCCGCCGCCGCCGCCCCCTCCCTCCCCGCCTCCCTCCCCGCCTCCGCCCCCGCCTCCCGGGTTATCTTTGTCTCGCTGCCTCGCGCTCACTCGCTCAACTCTCGGCGGCGCCGCGGCCCCACGCTCCGGGCCCGTCCTCCAGGCGCGCGGCGCGGGGCGCGGGCGCCGGGGCCTGAGGCGGCGGGCGACGCCCGGGGGCCTGACGGCCGCCCCGCGCCATGGTGTGAGCGCCGCCGCCCCGCGCACGCTCCGTCCGCCCTCCGCGCGCGGCCCGGGCCGGCCGAGAACCGCGACCAGCCCGCCGCCGCCGCCGCCGCCCCTGGCCTCGCAAGGCGGAGTCCCCGCCGCCCGCTCCCGTGCGAGGAGGCGCCGTCGGCGGCCTGGCCTGTGACGGAATAAATAGAGAAACAGATATATTATTGGTACTATTTTGTTTGGTGGCAAAAAGGAAAAAATGGCGAACGACTCCCCTGCAAAAAGTCTGGTGGACATCGACCTCTCCTCCCTGCGGGTGAGTGGCCACGACGGGCCCCGCCGCGAGCGCGCCGGGAGCAGGGAGCCGGGGCCGCGCCCTGGCCCGCCGGGCGCTCGGGGGCCGCCGCGGGCAGAGCCTCGGGCGCGGCGGCCCCTTTGTCTGCCTGCGTCGGCATGTGCAGGGCGGCGGGGCGCGACCCTCCGCCGACGCCCCCACCCCGCCGCGCCCCGCGTCCCCCGCGCCCCGGGCGCGGCCTCGGGCGCTGGGGGACCGCGCGGGCCAAGCCCGCCGGGTTTGCAGTCGCCCTTTATCTACAACTGCCCCGCTTTATTTATTCATTGTTGTGCTGCTTTTAAAATTCTAACCCCTCCCCTCCTCTTCTCTAGGATCCTGCTGGGATTTTTGAGCTGGTGGAAGTGGTTGGAAATGGCACCTATGGACAAGTCTATAAGGTCGGTGTGAGGCGCCGTCTTTGTTTCCCGTGGCACGTTGAAACTTCTTGTTGGGGGACGAGGAGAAGGGTGATAAACACGCTGCTGACTGGAGGCCACGCCACTTGGCCAAACTTGGGAAAGGGGTTTCGCCTTGCAGTCCCTCTGTTTTTAAACAGGAGTTTATATTCAGGCTGGCTTTAAAAGACCTCATTTCCTGGCTTTGAGATAAGGAAATAAGCTACACTCTTAGGCATGCACTTTTTTTCAGTAAAATGGGAAAACATTTTTCCATAAGGCAACCTTAATTCTTTCGTTTTCCCCAATTCCGGCCTTCTGAGTTTGTGTGTCTTAATTAAAATTCAGTATAGGCAGGCCTGGCCTATGATTATCCTAAACCACTGCCTTGGCCTTCTTGAAAATTGTCCTCGTGTTGCCTCGTCTTAATGTTTGCAAAGTGCTCAAGGTGAGGAGTTTGGTGTTACCTGGGACTGCTTCTTAACTTTATCATACGTGCTGCTGATGGATACATACATATTTTGGGGAAACAGGGAGGGGTGTGTGTTTGGGCACCAGGAGCAGGAAGAATTACAGCATGAGGATTATAAAATCTGAATTCCAGGAATAACCTGTTTGACAGGTGTGTAATAGAAACAGATGAGGGAGAGCGAGGAGTCAAGAGGATGCCCAGATTTCACACCCACCCCAGGCCTGTCTCTTTTTTTAACACCTGCCCCCCAACGGTAAATCAGACTAACAAATCTGGAGACTATGAGTCTACTCTGAGTAGCTAACACCTGATGTGACTAACAGTACTGTTCATTTTATTCAGAGCACATTCTGGAGCTTCTGAAAGAGCTGTAGGTAATGGAGGCGCAGGCCTTGAAGATTTGAAACAGAATGTTAAATTTCCCCTGTCCTGATTTATTTCTTATTGCTAAACCTTTTCTAAAAGTAATCTGCACTGGTGGTGTTTTCTGGCTGTTAGAGTGAATACAAGGGGCTAGAAAAAAAAATATGAACAGGGCTTTGTGGTTCACCATGAAGAATTGTCATTGTCTCATTAGAAATGGAGGGAGGGGGTTGGAAGCTGACTGTAGACATTTTCTTAGGCCAAATTAAGTGTGGATCCTTTTGTCTCTTTTATGCTTTATGAATAGGGTTTATCTGTCCCTTGAACGCCTCTCCCTAGCTCCAACTTCCCCTGGCCTGGGCTGTGTACCGGCCTGTGCTCTGAACTTGAGTCAGTATTCTTAGGTGATCTCAAGTGAATTAGCATGTGTTTTGTTGGTTAACTGTTGGGGCCGGGGCCAGATTTTTGAATTTGAAAGGAAGCCCTGTTAACTCAGCCTGCTGGGCTCAACTGAATTTGGAAGCCTTTGGAAAATTTTGGAAAAGATTGTGTTGCAACTCACTGAGTGGCCTGGTAACTGGCTCTAAGACATTCTCCCCAGCCCCAGTGTTTGTTTAAGCCCCAGTTGGTTTTTTCTAACCCAGTTTTTCTGGCCAAATCTAAGTGGTGAGTGTACTCTTCCAAGTGAGTTAGCCAAAGCTTGTTTTTGACCTGGTTACACAGTAGTTGGATTGTTTATATCTTCCTCGGTCAGCATGGATGGATGTGAAGGGTAGTGTAAAGTGAACTAGAAGCCAACAGTCCATTTTTAAACCATAAGAAGAAAGAAAGAACGAAACCTGAATGTGTATTAAGTGGTTTTAAGAGGTGGGAGTTCTTTATGGTAACAGTTTGGACAGGTTCATTGTTAAATTTTTTCCCCCCTCTTCATTTCCTTTGGTTCCATTCCCTCCTTCCCCCAAGCTTTTGAAATAGATTTGCTGAGCGGTGCAGTTGGGAAGCATTTGGGATACTGGCCGTGACACAGCTCTCTGACTACAAAGTCTGTACACTTGAGAAGAAATTCTCAAATTATGCAAACCTAACAAATTAAGAAATCTGTGCAAAAGTGGCATACACACATACAAAATAGTGCCTGAGATTTTGCTCACCAGCAGTTCTATTTTATTCTGTAAGATTTCAAGCATACACAAGGAGAGAGAGTAGATCACCCGATTTAACAGTTAATCAGCACATGACTGATCTGGTTTCATTTATAGTCTTTCTCCATTAGTATTTTAAGGTTAAAGCCTAGAAACCATTTCAACCATAAATACTTCAGGATGTATTGTTTTTGTTTTTCAGATAATCACAGTGCCATTCTGACACCTAAAAAGTTAATTCCATAGTATCAAATATTCAGTCTTAAGCTTTTCCTGATTTTTCATAGATGTTTTCTTACATCACAATATGAACTGATACTGGGAAGTTCATTCTTGGTAGATGGTAGAAATAGGAGAAACATTTAACATCTCCATTTGCGTCTCCCTTTCAGTGTCTAATTTCTAGAATGATTTATATTATGCAGAGGAGTTTATTTAGGATTTGTTGGCGTGATTTGCATGTGGTGGTTTTGGGATTAGATTATTAATATTAGCATTTATTTATTACTAAACATCCACTAGTGTGAATAGCATCTGAGTTGGGAAAATATTTGTGATAACTTGTTTATAAAGAAGCTTTTTTCTTAACATAAATTCAGGTAAAATACCTTTAAGCTGAACAACCTGTAGCCCTCCTTTATTTCATTGCTATATCTTCTATTTTCTGTTTTTTCTATGAGCTTATTATTTTTTAGTGATTGTGGTTGCTTATTTTGAGAAGGCTGTATTTATGTGAGGCGAGTGAGTAAAAAGAGGGAGTTTTCTGGGTATTGCTGTTTATGAAAGTGACTTTTTTAGGGGGTGGTTTATAATTTTCTCTATGACAAAATTGGTAAATAGTCTGGGTATAGTTGAACAGTATATAACTCTTTAAGTATTTTTTTAAAAATATTTTTAAGGATTTTATTTATTTATTTGACAGAGAGACAGAGAGAGGGAACACAAGCAGGGGGAGTGGGAGAGGGAGAAGCAGGCTCCCCATCTAGCAGGGAGCCCGATACGGGCTCGATCCCAGGACCCTGGGATCATGACCTGAGCAGAAGGCAGACGCCCAACGACTGAGCCACCCAGGTGCCCCCGCGAACAGTATGTAACTATCTTAGAGAAAAGAGTTGAAACACAGAATATGTCCTATTCAGAGTAATACATTTTTTGCATTAGGTTTCTTAGGGATCACTGGGAAGAATTGCTCATAAATGAAAACTTAAGAAAAATATTGTGATTTTCAGTTTACAAGGTTTCATTCAGAATACCATCTGTTTATAAAAAAGTGTTTATAAGGTGATCTTGTGCATGTTAAGTAAATCTAGTGAATTTTAATTATTTTCATCAAAGGGGGACAGGGACTGTTTAAAAACAAAACCAGAAAAAATAAGGTTTGTTTTTGTGTTATATTGGGTTTTATTATTTTTATATTATATATAATATTTTTAATATTTGACCATTTTTCTTTTTTCCTTGGGGTTATGGTTACCCTGTTAGTTTGTATTTTGTGAGCATACAGTGACTGGTGTTCCATATGTCTTGACTAGGAGAAGGAAAATCCTACATCTAGAAAGGTACTGTAGGTAGTGAGAGGGGAAGTTAGGGAGTTTAGAATACAGCAGGTGCAATGTCTGGGGTCAGGACTTGCTCACAGGAAGGATGGATGCCTTTTTGGAGGACTGAGCATCTTGACCCTGTCTGACCCTGTCTTTGGGGGAAAGGTAGGCTGTAAACCTTGGAAGCTGAGGAGGAGAGTACTCTGGGCCTAAAGATCGTAAGCAGAAGCAACACTGAGAGTTTGTTGCCGTTTAGGGCATGGTGCTAAGGCTGTCCCCCTCATTTACTGAAGAAAGCGGGGGAGAGGTATATGTGACAGAAGGGCTGAGGGTGACCTCTTTGGGAATGACAGGAGGTTTAGGGAGTAATAGGCATCTGGGGAGAGATTATTCGTGAGTTAAGGAGAGATGAGCATTGAGGGGTCATTGAAAATTTTGTCGGGTTTGGAGACCCCTGTGAGTAAGAAACCTGATGGGATGATCTTGGCGGAAGGAGCAGGTAAGATGGGTGGCCTAGGACAGTGGGCCAGAGGCGAGGAGGTAAAGGCCGGGGCAGGGTAGTGGCAGCGGAGGTAGAGAGGAGTGTTGGGCTGGATTCTGGGACATTCTTCCTTGCTGAGGTCAACCTGCTAAATTCAGTCATTCTCTGCAGGCTTTGGTCTGGCCCTTTAAATGGGTACACTGTTTGCCCACTGGATTAGGAGGAGCCTTGGGATCTGTGAAAGTGCTAAAATTACTTTCGATTGCTCAGCAATAAAGTGCTGTATAAATTGTGTGGCTTTTAAAAATCATTAGTCTAACATTTTGGATCAAACAAACTTTTTTGAGGGACTTCTCTAAATGTTATCCCTTAAGTGTAGCACCTCTTTTTCTTAACTGGAGGTAAAGACATCCAGTGGGGCAAAATGAATTTTGAGGAACTAAATGTTTTCATTACAAGGAGGATTGACTTGCCACTGAATGGCATGTACAGACTTGTTCTGAGACATAGGGCTCCTTCATGCTAGAAGAATTCTGGACTTGGGTAAGGTGGGAGGAAGCCAACCCCATTGAACATGTATTGGTGTGTAGCTCTCCTAAAAGATACCAGCCCTAAATTTCCCAAACTTTTCAATTAAATTAAATCATAAAATAAAAGCCTAAAAAAATCCAACCACCAGATAAAATCCTACTCATGGTGGTTTTAAAATTTCTTACTGCTTGAAACTTTCTAATAAATATTCATTTGCATAGCTGCAAACTTGTAGTTTTGTCTTTTTTTTTTTTTTTAACCAGTTTTGGACATATACATATTTCTGCATATTTAGATAATCCAAAAGTATTATCTGGGGGCACTTTTGGTGCAGTGTGTGTGTTTGTAGATTTTGTGGACTGATACTAGCAGGGCAAAGACTTTGAAGTAATACATCCTACTTTTGAAATAATGCATCCCTGAACAAGTGTGCTAATAAGCCAAGGAATAATCATCTAAGGCGTTTCATTCCC